CACACACACACACACACACACACACACACACACACACACACACACACATATATATATATATTGTACGAACAACGAATGCATGGGCATTTAGTTTTATATTTATTTTTTTATATTACTTACTATTAAATTCACCAATGTTCAAGTATTTTTAATAATAATAGATATTTTGATTTTAAATAGCAATATCACCAGTATATATTATTTAAAAATCTCAACAATAAACAGCTATGGTTCTTGACATAGTAACTTAATTATCTTTAGCTCAAATCAGTGTTTCTACATTTTCATCTAATAAATAAAATATAAATTTAAATGCAAACTTAAAAAGTTTGTAATAACTTAAATTTCATTATTTAAAAAGTTTCTTTTTTAAATAAATATTTTGAATAATTATGTTATACATTTATACATCCACTAACATTTACCTAACTATCGTCATTAAATCTAAATGTATAGACAATAGTATACAATTTAATTAGAAAAATAAATGCTCTATGAAACTTTTGATAGACATACAGTTTTGACATTATTACGCTACTGAAAACATAATAATAATAAAATAACTATATTGATAATACAATATACTGTACTATAACATATAAATTATAAAAAAACAGTGTGTATAAAATACAAGATAACTTTATTTAGATGATTTAGTAAATAATTGTAGTTATTTTTATTACCTGCTATTCTTGCTATCACTTCGGGATCTGTCTGATTTACTATCCAAATCAACGGTAAAACATCCTCGATGATTTGTTGTTTTTCAAGTCTGTGCAATATGATTTCCAGACATGCTAATATGTTTAAAACAATTTTCAAATCGTTGGGATTGATTTCGTACACCATTTTGAGTTTGGGAAGTACCATTCTTCTTATTGCTGTATCATCCATATATTGAGAAACGTTGGTTACAGCCAATACAGCAGCACTCTAATAAAAATATACAATAGTTAAAACAGTTATATGGATTTTATCTAACAAGTATACGATAACTATTAATGGGTTAAAATATTAATTACGTTAAATTAATAATAGTTTTGAGTATTACAATATCAGGATTAATTCATAAACCTAATGTTTCTTATAAAATATATAAATACGATTATTTTCAATTAATATAATCATGAATTAACTCGGATGATTTAATGTTTGAATTATTTTATTTAAACTTTATGAAGTACTTCAAATATTATATTATTAATTAAAGTATTTTCACTGATTATTTTATTTATATTTTATATTATTTCAGTATTATAGAAACTATTAAACGAAATATGGAAATGTTTCCTTTACAAACACTACTAGTGAATTGTAAAATAATATTAAATTTGAAATAAGTAATACAAATAAGAATTTAAATATAAAAATAAATGTTATAATAGCTTATAGTCCCGTGAAAACTATTATTTTACTATTACAGTGTACCATATTTTTAAATCAGCATTATAGAACATTTCAAACGATACAAAAATTAATAGTAAAAGAATATATGATCTAAAAATATTGAAATAAAATGTTTATTTAAAATGATCAAATAAATTGAATGGTTTTGATATTAATCATTAAAATATAATCGATTATCTTGTACTTTTAAATTTAAAAATCATTAAAAAGTTATTGCATTTATTTAATAAAAATCTCTCCAGAATTAATAATAATATAAATTGGATATTATAAATGTAAAAAATAAGGGTTATTAAAACGTTATGCTATATTTTACTTATTTCAGTAACTTTAAATCATATAAAATGAAATTCATAAAATCATAAAGTATATTCCTGTATATACAAGTATAAGTTTGTAATATTACGTTTATTATAAACTTAAAATAAAGATTTAAATGTTGTCAAAAAAAATTCTTAAAGTATACTTTCGATTTCAACGAAGAATGATACAAATTTAATTGGATACAAGTATATTAATAGAACAATATAGCGATCATTATAAAATATTAATAATCAAATAAACATTTAATTTCCAAGATAAATTAACGTTTGTAAATCAAATATTCAATTATAATGAAAACAGTAACAATAATATACGCATTTTTAGTATTTACAAAGATAATAGTTGAAACAAAAATTTAAAGAAATTATTTTTCAGTATTTTTATAATTTATGTACTTAAGCATTATTCATTATTACCGATAGGTAATGATAATAAATAATAAAAATCCCTTATCTAATACAAAATGTATATTTTAAACTTATATATGAGTCAATAATTGTTGAACATAATATTAGCAATAGTTTATATGAAATGAAAGTTATTTATTTACATAATTTAAATATAAAATTATTATTTATGTATAAATTATTAAGTGGTATAACGCCGCCAACTTTGTTTATCGATTAAAATTATAATAAATTGGTGTACTTTCTATTATGAAAACAATACCGCTTGTTTAAAACATAATTTACTATCAATAATGAGATAATTATTATGTATATATAATACTATAATAGCTATTTATGATTTGATTCTTCCATCACTTGTTTTTATTTTATTTATATTTCATGTTTTGTTTTATTGTAATCGTTTTTTAAGTATTTTAATAAATTATATTTTCTTAAAAATATAATTTTGATCATTTAAATATAAATAATTAAAATATGTATAATAGGTTTATGTATAATTTTTCGAATATCATAATTCAAAATAAAACAACAGTTTGTATATTTAATTAAGCACAGTATACATAACATTAATAATTAGAATTTTAATTTTAATTAATATCGTAAAGAATTCCATCGTTTATGTAGTAAACTCAATTTTTGCAGATAACTGTAAGTGAATTTTGAGTTAAACTTAAGTAATAGTATTAGTAATTCAGCTAAAATTTTGGATATAACGTAGTTATGAGTAATGGTTAATTTACGACTATTCGACATAATATTTCGAAGATAATGCACCAGGTTAGGTTACTACATATCACTTTTCAAACCGATAGTTGTCGCATGTTATAGATAACTTTAAATTTATAATGTTATGCTTTCTTAAAGCTTTATTGTGAACATTGAACAGTTATTATTACCGACCGATTGTAGATTCATATTTCGTTGTTGTTTTATATTCTTGTGGCTCTTAGATAAAAAAATTGTTTTTGGAGGAGTTAAGTTATTGTACTTAAAATACATGCGCCATCAGATCTCTTCAATTACAGTATATACAATATATACATTATTATTGTTGTTGTTACTAAAGTCTGATAGATTTATTTTGTAATTTATGCGACATTATGGCATTATTATAGTGCTGTCGAATGATTTAATAATTTTATGTAATATAAAGGTATTTACTTGGTTGCCTTGTTGGTTATATAGAAAACACGCTGAAGCGTACAGTAGAACGCCTGGAAATAAAGCCCTCCTATTGGTGAAAATCCCTCAGGGCTTCGAGAAACATGTATTGAACAAACAAATGCTCGAACACGTTGTTCGCCAAATCACAGTGTTGTAGAAGAGTATTTACTTTTTTTTTATTTCTCATATTATTTGAAATAAGCAATTATGTATTGGGTTTGAAATAAATTAAACATTCAGATTGTAATCGTACAAATAAACGCCACGAAAAACTTTTTGAGAACATGTAAGGTAATCAATAATTTTATTTTAATAATCGATGTATTAATTTTTTTATTGTTTATTTCATTTTTGATCATTCATTGAATACAATGAATGATATATAGTATTAAGTATTATAAATCGACAAAAAACAGGATAAACAAAGTTTATTAAAGGTAATTTGGTGTTTGAAAATTTACCTTTATGAAAATTAAGATATTAATTTTATCACGATGTTCCAAACTATTTACTTTGGTGTTAAACATCACGGACATTAGGTATTATTCTTAATTGGTTTTAATTCAAATCAAAATGTAAATGTCTTTTAATTAATGTGTATAATACAATAGTAATATCATCATAATTAATCTAAAAATAAATGTTTTTGTATTTTATATACTTAATATAGGTACATAATACACGATAAAAAAATAATATTTAAATTAATGTTTTAAGAATTGCAAAAAAATAACTTAAAATATTATTATGTTAAGGTTTTACAAATTTAATAATGAATTGTTATTGAATTAAAAGTTTACATTTTAATTCACAATTATTTACTCAATGATAAAAACGTATACTCAAAACATATTATAAAGCAGTATAAGTACTGATTTTTTTTTTTTTTAATGTACATATTGGACGTGATATAAGAGACTGAAGTTATCAATATGAATTAAATAAAACCTATTAATTGGTAAAGTTTAACCGGCAATGCTTTTAAAAGTGTTTGTTATTTTGAGTGCTGTCGTAGGTACTATTAGTAGCACTTTTTATAACATTATTAAACCATTTTATAAAATTGTTGTCGGATCTATATAGTATTGTACATCCATCTATTACGTAGTATCTGTTGACATGATCATTACTACTTTTTCAGTATTTACTTTTGTTAACAACAACAACTATTTAGTAAAACGTAATATACGTTGCGTTATTTATATTTAATTTAGAATTTGACGTAAAACAATTGTTGTACTTCTATAATAACCAATATAATACGATCATAAAGTCTTATTTCAAAATAAATGATTTGTTATTTAACGCAATTTAATCGCATTACTAAACATTACATAGAATATATTATGTTTTTTTGTCTATCTCTACTTTTTATTTGAAAATTCAATTAAGTTGATCAATATTCTTATTCAATGTGTAAGAAAAAACTAAACAACATAAGTCTTATAAAAAAAAAAAACAATATAATCAGTTATAAAAGTGCATTTGTATTTGTTCGTCTGACAATAAAAGTGTTTTTTTTCTTCAAAGATATTTATTTACAAAGAGATGATAAATATTTTTATACTTTGTATAATTTACTAATAAAATGCTGGTTGGTTTTTTATTTTGTCCGTACAATTTATATTACTTTTAAGTTAAAAATATTTAGTTAGAGTTTAATGTATTATCTTATATCTATATACCATAAAACATTTACATTAGCATAAACATGACTTATAAGATATGTATATGAAATTAATTTCTCTTCTTTGGACTTTGTCTAATCTATGAAAAACAAGTGTTTAATTTGATTTGTTTTTATAGGTAATATTAAATAATTGTAAATTAATTATTAATTATTAAAAATCATTTCATATATTTTTTTGTGAATCTATCAAGTTATTAACTAGATCTAGTAAAAAAAAGTATGGGTTTGTTACATATTTTCCAATTTTACAAATATGCACCCGAATGTTATTTATTTATTCAATTTTTTTTTTTTTTTAATAAATTATCTTAGTAAAATTATATTAGTAATAATTTAAAATAATTTTTAATAAATGGAATACATCTTTTTTTGAAATTATATGTCAATTTTTTGCACTTAATTGAAAAAATAATTCCACCTATTATACCTTTTATCAATTTACATAACCTTTAAACATTGGATAAAAATAAAATTATAGTGCAATAACTATTAATAAACAAATTATGATAAATAACAAGAATAAATAAAAATTTTAACTTAAGTAATTGTTTTCAGAAAAACATAAGTATACGTAAATATATAAATATGATCATTTTTCTTTATTTAAATATTTAATCAAATTAATCAAACTTTACTTTTCTTTGTTTATTTTTACAATATCTTTTTATTCTCTAAAAATATATTCGTCTGAATATAATAAAAGTTATTAAAATTGAGATTAAAATAATTTATAATTTAAGTAAAATATGCAAAACATAATACAATTATTAAGAATTATTAACATTTCAAACAACTTTTACAATGAGTTCAAAAACAAAGAAAAATTAATGAAAAGCTTTAGTAAAAACAGAGTCCAGATATTAGACACTCGCCATTTCAAAACGAAATAATCATTGAAATTTCTTTAGTGTTTTGTTAAATAATCTTACCAATTTAAATATACTTTCGTGTAATTATTTATTAACTTTTGTGTTAAATCAGACAAGCATGATTCATATTAGCTTATATATAGATATTTAATTTAAATTAATTGATTTAAAAGAAAAAAATATTAAAATTAGATTCTAAATTAATATAATATATCAAAATATTAAATAAAGTCATTCAAACATTTCAAATTATGCAAATTTTTATTAATTCATAAAAATAAATTAATTGGCTATAAAGGGAAATGCAAATCCCTCAAACATAGGTACTAAACGGTTTCTTGTTTTGGTAAAATATATTCCTGACAAAATAACACATAAATTAAACGTTCAACCGTTCAGTAACCGTACACAAATTCTGAAGAATCTTTCCGTTTATATGCATTTACAATACAAAGGAATTTGAAATGAGGAATTGAGCAAAGCGTTTTATGAAGTATTATTAAACATGTATCTGTGTATAAAATGTATCTTAGCAACAATACCCATTGGTATGCCATCATATATGAACCAAATAATACTAAGCGTTATTTTGGTAATATTTTAATATTATATTATATTATTTAATTCGTTTAACATTATTTTTTTGAGCAAAATTTTAAAATTGATAACTAGTACTCATGTTTACTTTTAAGTATTAATTTTCATGTACATATTGTGTTAAGTGTGAACGCTGTAAAAAAAGTTCAGGAACTTTTTAATTAGTGGAGGAAAATATTTTGTGTATATAATACTATTTAGATAAGATAATTTATTAATGAATAAAGAATAATTAATAATTAATTAACGTAG